AAAACAGCAGTTTCTATCATGAGACAGTATACTGATTTGAGACTATTACATGTGTCATTATGTGTCTTTTACTCTGTCTCTATCTCACTCCTTTCTCTCTTCTCTCTGCTCATCTCTGTTCTCTCTATCTCTTCTGTCTGTATTCTGTTCATTTTGCCCCTTATTCTTTCTTCGTTCTGTTTTTCTTATGTGTTCCTCCTCTATTCTTCAATTTTTTCTCTTTAATTTCTTTCTCCTATATCAATTAGTATGAAATCATATCTCTTCCAATGTATTTTACTAAGATTAGGTCATGATAATATCCTAATCTTTTGCTAGAGCTCATGCTAAGTTTGCACTCTGAATCCAGTTCGTTATTTGTTCCTAGCAAAGCATTACATATTATATTTTGTATGGAAATCTTATTCATTCTCATTATTTTAATTCAATACTATGCAGATGGTGGTCTACAAGTGATTGTGGAATCGGTAACCGATGGACACCAAGATGAGGTTGCTAGGGAAAGCTATCAATTAGATATCTTAAAAAGCATTGTGTATGGTGGTTTGGTAGAATCCATCACAAGCCTTGGTGTTGTGTCATCTGCAGCTGGTTCTGGAACTGCCACTCGTAAGTACAGCATTCCTGTCATTCACTATTTACTCAGCACAATCGTTGTCTGAAAATATAACCAAGCAAAAATTACCAGTGTCTTGGATTTGGTAATTAGATTAGCATAACTTTTGGATCTGATGGATTTAATATCTTTTTTTTTTGGATCCTTTTACCTTGCTGCAGTTCCTCCTGCCATTTAATAGATCATTGCTCATTTGGTTTACTTTTATTGCAGTGAATATTCTAGTGTTGGCTTTGGCGAATTTGATTGGTGGACTTACTCTCATTGTTCATAATGTGAGTGAACATTACAATATTTCATTATATCCATGTTATTCAATGAACAGAGAGAATATTTTTATGTTGATTTAGGTCTCCTTTTCAAAATTTATAGAAGAGAACTTGAGCTTTGATGCATTTAGTTTTGCTATCATTTTGGATGATGCAAATTATGTAGTCAGATGGTTATGAACACATATAGGTATATATAGATTCTCTCTATAGGGGTTAATATATTTTGATGCTATTCTATTTCACCAAAGCATATTCCACTGTTGCCGATAAATCTTAGGTTGCATTTGGTTCAATTCTTTTTTGTTTCTAGTCATCTATAGTTCTCGTTATAATAGTTTGATTGTGCATACTTAGATAATAATTTGCTGTGTTTAAATTTCTCAACTCCCACTATGAATTTGCAGATGATAGGAATTTAACCATCACTTTAAATGTGTGAATTGATTTTCACTGCTGGAGAATTAAAGTTGAGTTTGTCGTAACTTAAACACAATAAATTACTTATTTATGTGTATAAGAAAATAATAAAAAATTAAAACTAAATTGATTAGAAATTAATTTTTTTTTTGAAAAAAAACCCTAAATCAACGATGGAAGTAGCTTTTATGAACATCTATTTTGTTGTTGGCTTCTGCTAGCGTTTTAGTTATTTTTCAATTTGGACTCACATTGTGGTTTTTCAGCTGAGAGAATTGAGAAATGATGATCCCCGGCCAACTACTGACCAATTGAATGAGCAAGAAGATCGATACGAACGGCTACTTGGGAAGAGACGGAATTATACAATTCATGCAGTAGTAGCTATCATATCATTCATTGTGTTTGGGTTGGTCCCTCCGGTTTTATACGGCTTCACATTTCAGAAAACTGGCAACAGAGACTATAAACTTGCGGCAACTGCAGGAGCTTCTCTCATATGCATCACTTTACTTGCTATAGGGAAGGGTCATATTCAGAATCGATCGTACATTAAGACTGTATTGTATTATTTAAGTATAGGGTTTGCAGCCTCTGGAGCTTCTTATGTTGCAGGTGACTTGCTAAATGAACTTATTGAGAAGCTGGGGTGGCTCAATCCAAGTCCAAGTCCAAGTCCGAGTTCAGGTGTTAGTGTTGCCATGTCTTTTTCAGACAAAATACTGACGGGACAGGGATGGGCATCAAACTGAGTTTCTTTCTCCTGCTCCCATGGAACTAGTAACTGGGATTTTGCTGTGAAGTTTCTGATTGTAAGAGTCATAGACTCAAGTTTTTAGAGGAGTTTCTCTGTTTTCCAAGTTGAAGATGAATTTTGTAATGCTGCCTTTTTTCGTTTTGCTGTATTGTTATCTGTTCTTTGTACTTCATGATGAAACCTTGGAAAACTTATTTATGGTGCATTATTGTATGTTGAAAACATGAATCTCTCCCTTTATCTTACCTTTTTTCCCCTCTTCGTTTCTTTTTCTCCTATTGAGTTCTTCACATAGGCTGTGTTTTTTTTTTTTTTGTATCTTTTATTTTTACTTGTTGGCATTCCTATTCCTCACTATTTTGGTGTTCCATTCCTTATTCATTTAAAATTTCAAAATAATTTACTGCATTCCTAAAATTATTAATAATCCAAGTTTTTTTTGGATTGTAAGTGAACTGAAGCCTGCCCAACACCCAGGAAATTCAGCTTTTATATCAATGGAGAAAATCCAATTTAAGTCTTATGTCAAATCACCATGGATATGACTCTTAAACAAGAATTCCTAAATAAAACTTAACAAAAGATGTAAATCCACTGGAAATAGCAAATATATATGCAGAGATGAAGTGGTTACTGCTACCTACTGTAATAACAAATAATTAATTTTACTAAATAATAGGATAAAATAGATAGACATTTCTCTCTTGGATCTTCTTGCTTAATTTATATTTTTGTACTTACATAAGAGTAAAATTCTCCTATGACATTGTAAAAAATTTTAGGATCTAATTATTTTTGTACATGGTGCATAAAATTGGCAACACCCACAATACCATTTGTAAAAAGACAACTCTTTATAAGTCTATAACGAAAAAATCTTTTGTAAAAAAATATAATTATTGATGAATATATAAGGAAGAAAAAAATTACTTTGTTAATTAAATAAGAATATAAAAGCCAAAAAAATAACATATTACCACTCCCTCTCTCTCTTATGTTGATTTAAACCATAAACAGATTTGAGTTTTAGAGTGTGAAGATTACCCACAACTCTAATAGCATCCGAAAGAAAATATAGATAGTCAGGAGCATCAACAATTAAGAATTGATCTCCGTGGATAGAAAAACAAACATTTTATTATATTATTTCCGCATTAAGGTTAATCCTAATTTTCTATCCGTACAAAATCAATTCATTACATTTTAAACTTCACCATTTTGACAGAATAATTTAAAATATCTCGTCAGTTTTACCATAAATTTTCTAACAATTCAACTCAGCTTCATTTTTTTATGCTGAAATTTCATTACTTCGTAACTACAATAATTGAAAAGATTACAACGATATAAACATATTTCTTCATTTCTTTTACATTGATGAAATCATGATTCCTCAAATCTTGATCTTTTTTTTTTTTTTTTGAAAGAAAAAAAAAACTTGTTTTGACTTTTGACAATTTTATTATAATAATAAATGAGGACAAACCCATGTATGCATGCGTGTGTCTTTTTCTTGTGGAGAAGTTACGTTGAGAAAAACTACATGGACATAGAACAAGAGAAAAAAACCTAGTTGCCCTTATTTGTTTTTTTGTAAATGCAGAGCATATCCCTCACATATCCTCTACGTATTCCTGGTTCAACATTGTTTGTATAAAAGTATAATATGCGTCGGACACGTACATATCATACCCGTATTCTCTCCGAATCTAAACTAAAAATTCTACTTACAATTCGAATTTATATACCTATATATGTACATAAAGAAATTATTGACGATTAAAATCACAAGTTATTTCTCACAACAAATTTTGTCATGAACACGTTTTGTCGACTAAATTAGATCGTCGAGTTTCGAGTATGATCATGGTCTAGTCCACGAATTTAGTTTTTGAACCGGTTAATTTTATACACATGCATAGCAAAGCATTTAAAAGTTCTCTATCAAAGGCAGCAAATATAGGACTGTATAACTTTTTTTAAAAAAAGTGTAACATAAATCCAAAGGGTAATGAAGATTGTTGGTTGTTTTCATATCACAATCATGGCGAATTCGGTAATTTTTTTAACATTAAGGTTGTGTTTGGTATAATTTTGTTCAATTTTTTGGTTCTAATTTTTATATTAGTTTCAATTTATGTAATTAAATTATTATTTATTAACAAAAATTCATATATCTAAATAATTAGATAGTAATTACACATTAATAACAACTCAATCAATAATATTAGATATTCCCTAATAAAAACATAAAATGCATAGTCCGACTAACACACACTCACAAAATGCTTGAATTATCAGTCTTTACCTTTATAATGGTGACTATTTGATCCTAATTTTGTAAAGTGGAATTGTAAGTTCCGAAATTAAAAAATTTAAGATTTGGGTCATGATAGTTCGAACATAATAAATTGTGTTTTAATTTTATATATTAATACGAATACGAGAATTAAAAGTAGAAAATTGATTAAGAAACTTAAAAAAAACTATTGTATGACAATTCTATATATATTATAGATTATAAGAATTAACTAAAAAGAACTTTTTTGGGATCAATAACTAAAACAAATTTAAGATTGAAATAAACTGAGTTGAAAGCTTCTGGTATAACATTAAATAAAAAGAAATTCTATATATATATATATTGTTGTGTAAAGAGGAAGCAAGCGCATAATTTTAGAACTTGTAAAAAGCCAGAATGGTGGAACGAAGCCAAAGAGTGGGGCAAGAAACAGAAGTGAAGGGGGAAGACTCAAGGAAGGAGGAAACTTTGGCATTTCATAGACTTCTGAGCTATGCCGATGCAATTGACTGGGCACTAATGGCGCTGGGAACATTAGGTTCCGTGGTGCACGGCATGGCTCAACCCATTGGATATCTATTGCTGGGTAAGGCCCTTAATGCATTTGGGAACAACATCGACGACACCCATGCCATGGCCAACGCCATCCTCAAGGTATGTATGCATACACACAAATTTACACGCACATACATGTATGAAGCTATCCGTGTGTATGTGCACAGACATATGGAGAATGTTTTAACTGAGCCTTTTGTCTGACTTATCACCTATCTACCGTGTTATGGTTTTTTGTGTTGTTTCCAGGTTGTTCCATACGTGTGGTACATGGCCATTGCGACACTTCCAGCCGGAATACTAGGTAATCCTATTTCCTAGATGAACGCACGAACATGTCATGATGATGCAAAAAAAAGTCGGCTTCTCATATGCACACACATATATATATATATTGGATATAAAGCCCGTGTTCTTCTATTCAGCTAACAAGTGCAGCTTCTATACCCTCGAGATTACACCTGATACTGCCATCTCCCATGCAGTATATAATGAATGTACCTTTCCTTTAGAAGCATATGTAAGATATATAGCTACAATAATGATTTGGATTTTTATTCAAATAAGTTTTCACTTTAATTCTCAGTCCTCCTTCCTTTAGTCCTTAACAGATCTCCCATTCTAGAGAACCAGAACTTACTAAACCCACTCCCTCAAGCTCTTATGACTTCCTCCCTCCCCAATTTTCCTACTCTCTCCTTCTCTTCGTTCTCCTTTCTCGGACTGGGGATGGGTGAGTGAAAAGGCATAAATCGAAAATTATTCAAAAGTTCCCTCTTAGAGAAATCTAGTAAGCTCCCTCTTAGAGAATATTTTATAAAAAAAAAAAAAATTCCCAAAAGACACTAAAAATAACTTTAATGTTCTAGATAATACAAAAAATTACTCTTATATTATTGTATTTATATCAAATTAACCAGTCCGTTAATTTATTTTTAGTTAATTTAGACATGACATTCCCCATAAATCAAAATATAAATTTAAAAGTACAAAACCTTAAAACTAACATATGTGCAGAGCACGTGAGTCAACTCACAAAAATGCACCCACGTTAAACCCGAATATGCCAGAAAAATGACCTGAGGTTTCCCCCCAGCTCACACTTTTTCCTAACCCAAATTTCGTTGACCTGAGGTTTTTACATGTGGTTTTTTTTTTTTTTAATGGATGAGTTGACGGAGAGAGTGACCGAGTCCGTTTTGAGGAAAGAGTCTTAGAGGAGGGTTTTGTGGAGGGGGGCTTGTGAGGGGAGAGAGAGATCAGCGATAGATCTGATGGTGTTGCTGTTGGTGATGAAGAAAAGGAGAAAGAAAAAGAAGGGGAAAAAGGAGATGTGTCAGAATACAGGTGCGAGAATGAGGGGAAAAAAAAGGAAAATAAAATAGATTTAAATGAAGAAAGAAAGGAAGAAGATAAAGAGAGACATGGAGGCTGTTTCAATTCGTGTCTGCTTCATTTGGTCTAGAGATTCCTGTTGCACAAACTGAGATGAAATGAAGATAGAGTTTGAGAACAGAGAGATTAGACCAAAGTTGAATTAAAGCAAAAGAAATATTTTAGGCCATATACTCATGTTCTCTGTTTCAATAAGTAATTCTCATTAACAGAAGGGTTAAACTGATATAAAACTTATAATGCAGGGAACATATTAACACAATCAAAATGCCTAGTGCAAATCGTACCAACCCAATGGTAGAATGATGAATTTTTTATATTACCATTTTTTGCTCAAGTTTCTTTTCATTTCTGAACTCTATTGGGTTTCTATCTTCAAACAATACATGTTTATGTAAATGCTTCTAAACAAAGTGCTATATTCATTCTAAAATGATCACTTCGCTTATAATGGTATAAAGCTGAGAGTGTAAGATATACCTAACAGGTGCGACACATTAGTTTCTAAAGATTTCATCCGAACCGGTTAGTGTTCTTCCTTGTCTGCTTGTTACCTTCAGAGACTACATAGATATATATAGGAGTATGTCAATAATTGGTCCACAGAGGAAATACAACAATAAGTATGAGAAACAAATGCAACTGGCTAACTGCACTAACAATTTGATCTTTCTTTCTGGAAATTGCAGAAACCGGATGCTGGATCTATGCAAGTGAAAGACAATTGGTGCGAATGAGATTAGCATTCCTGAGAGCAGTACTTACCCAGGAGATAGGGGCATTTGACACAGATTTAACAAGTGGGAAGATTATAACTGGAATTAGCAGCCATATGAGTGTCATACAAGATGCAATAGGGGAAAAGGTACCTACATATACATTTTAAAAAACATATATTTTATTAGCCTCATGTAAGTTGTCTCTGAAAATAACAAGGATACAGCACTGACTTCAATCCCTCAAGCGCAGATGGCACATTTTCTGTCAAATTTGGCTACTTTCTTTTCGGGAGTAGTGATTGCTGCCATATGCAGCTGGGAATTGGCATTGCTAACCTTGGTGGTTGTTCCTCTGGTCCTTGTAATTGGAGCCACTTACACCAAGAAAATGAACTCTACTTCTGCTGCTAAGACGCTGTACTCATCACAAGCTACATCCATGGTACAAGAGGTAAAAGAAATTAGTTTGATTACAATTTTACTTTTAAGCCTACTAGATATCAAATCAATCAGAACAGATATCTCAACATTTACTACTAATTCACGTATCACAGACCATATTTCAAATCAAAACAGTATTTGCATTTGTTGGCGAGAATCGTGCTGTCAAAGCTTTCTCGGAGTGCATGGCCAGACAGTATTTCATATCCAAAGGAGAGGCACTGATAAAAGGCGTGGGAACAGGGATGTTGCAAACCGTGACCTTCTGTTCTTGGGCTCTGATCATATGGGTTGGTGCTATTGTAGTCACTGACAAGAGGTCAACTGGAGGAGATGTCATATCTGCAGTGATGTGCATTCTCTTTGGGGCTATGTAAGAAATTTTATTTCCTGAAGCAAGACAAAATGATATTGTTTACTTAGTACATCAAAACTGATCGTTTTCCAAACTGCAGATCACTTACACATGCTGCACCAGATATGCAAATCTTCAATCAGGCAAAGGCTGCAGGAAATGAGATCTTTAAAGTTATACACAGAAAGCCAGCTATAAGTTATGATCCAACAGCAAAAACACTTGAGAAAATTAATGGAAACATTTGTTTTCATGATGTATGCTTTGCTTACCCATCCCGAGAAGATAAATTAGTCCTTCAAGGATTTTCACTGTCAATTCCAGCAGGAAAAATGCTTGGTTTAGTGGGTCATAGTGGCTGTGGAAAGAGTACTTTAATCTCCTTACTTACAAGATTTTATGATCCCTCACAAGGTAAGCAACTTCTATTTAAGTCCTCTCAGGTTCAGAAGATTTTCTTTCTTCAAGTTTTGATATTTCAATAACAATTGCGCATGCAAGTCTTGGTGTACATGAGATTATATATGCAGACATGCGTTCACGAGAATGCATCAAATGCCTGCGCTGTGCATGTAATGGGGGCACTCCTTGCCACTGCATGTCTGCCACATTCTGCTTCATGATTGTCATTCCATTCAAGCATGCTAGTGTATATTGCAAATCAGTATATTGAAACAGCAGGATAAGATAATTGAATTCGATATCAACAGGCTTAATTGAGATGATGTGCTTTCCTGCAGGAGAAATTCTCATTGATAATCATAACATTAAGGATCTCGATTTGAAGTTCCTACGGAAGAATATTGGAGTAGTTTCCCAGGAACCATCACTCTTTGCAGGAAGCATTAAGGATAACATCAAAGTAGGTAACATGGATGCAGATGATCAGCAAATCCAGAATGCAGCAGTGTTGGCCAATGCACACACGTTCGTATCACAACTTCCGAATCAATATGCAACAGAGGTCATTTCTTAACTTGATTCACTTGCTACTCTTTAAAGCACATGTTACAAGATCCCTTCACCAAAACAGAGTTCTCAGAAGTAAAATGATCAATTATCATATAGAACAAAAAGTAAAAGACAGAAGATTTGAACGCTTGGCGTAGAAAAGAAAAACAGTAGATGTTTGAGAAGTAAATTGTGAAAATGCTAGAAGTTAAATGTAGGTACTCAGTTGCATTTCCTTCAGTATAATTACCTCTTGTAAGTTTGATCAACTCTGATCTTTGATCGAGCATCATATTTCCTCATCTTCTTAGATCAAGACTTGCATGCACGACTGCTATTTCATAGACATATCATTTTGCAAAAAAAAAAAGAAAGGAGGACATTTCATGAGCTACCCTACTTGTGCTTTGACTAATTGGTTCTATGGGCCAACAGATAGTGTTATAATGTCTACACTTTGAGTAAATTTGATTGTGACAAAATCATTCTCCTTCACACCAAAAGAGAATAGTAATGCCTTATTATTGCAGTAGTTATGAAGTGATGGTGATATATATCGCATGGAATTAAAAGAATCTTTGGGATTGCTTACACAAATGTATTTTAAGTTAAAGTAGTTAAGCGCTTATTTAAAACATAATAAATTATATATAAGATAAAAAATTAAATTAACCAGATAAGAAAAAGAGCATGTACTCAACAGAGAAATAATCTCAGGCACCCTGTAAATGAATGAGTTAGAAGGCTGATATTTTCGGCTCAGTAATTTTTTTTTTTTTTTGTATTCCTACGGAGCTGCGGGTGATAACATGGGTTAGAACCTAGGTATAGACCTCACTGTCTTAAGTAGGGAAAGGTGACCAACAAGCCGAAGCTCTTGGTCGTTTTGCAGTAATTTCTAGAAAATGGAATTGCTTTTTTGAAGTCTTAAGTTCATATTTTAACTTGTGGCTAAAAATGAAATCCAGGTAGGCCAAAGTGGAGTCCAGCTATCAGGAGGACAAAGGCAGAGGATTGCAATAGCAAGAGCCATTCTAAAGAATCCTCCAATTCTTTTACTTGATGAGGCCACGAGCGCACTAGATTCAGAGTCAGAGAAGTTGGTTCAAGATGCCCTTGAGAAGGCTATGCAGGACAGAACAGTCATCACTATTGCACACAGACTATCAACTATAGAAAATGCAGATATCATTGCAATTGTAGATGAAGGACAGGTTATAGAAACGGGAACACACCTCAGCTTGCTAGATACCAGCAAACTCTATAACAACCTATTTAGCATGCAGAAGTTCGGCCCAATTCACAACTCAAGGTTGATCCAGTGAATTCGCCATTGCACGTTAGTTGCATTAACCAAACTAAACCTAACTAATTTAGTGGACTGGTAACAGCTCCGAAGAAACTGAAGAATCAGCTACTACAAATCAGAAATCCTCGTCTCCAGATATTGATCAAAATGAAAAGTTTCCATATCTAGACGTGGAGCAGCTTAAGGAGCCTAGAAAGCCCAGCGAAAATGTAGACAAACCTATTGAGCAAGTGGAACAGGAAGGGGAAAAAAAGATGGGTGTCTTCTTCAGAATGTGGTTTGGCTTGAAAAGGAAAGAGCTTGTACAAACGGCTATTGGTACCTTCGCTGCAGCTTTCTCTGGCATCTCAAAGCCTCTTTTTGGTTTCCTCATCATAACAGTAGGAGTTGCATACTATCATCCGCACGCAAGGAAGAAAGTTGGATGGTATTCAATTGTCTTCTCTCTAATAGGAGCAATCTCATTGTTCTCCAACACCTTGCAGCATTACTTCTTTGGCATGGTTGGAGAGAAGGCCATGACAAACCTCAGACAAGCTCTATATGCAGGTACTTAGCAGTCCCATGGAAATATCTTCAGCAATACCAAATCTTTTCTTAATGCAGATATATATATATATATGAGCCGCGAACATTCATCAGAATTTCAAACCATGAAAAATGAAACTAAGCATAACTAACATCCAATTTATTAAAAATTTGCAGCCATATTGCGTAATGAAGTAGCTTGGTTTGAGAAACCTGAATCAAATGTTGGTTCCCTTACGTCTAGGGTCATCAACGATACCTCCATGGTCAAGACCGTAATTTCTGATCGTATGTCAATTGTTGTCCAATGCATCTCTTCCATATTAATAGCAACAATTGTTAGCATGATTGTTAACTGGAGAATGGCTCTGGTAGCTTGGGCTGTGATGCCTTGCCACTTCATTGGTGGACTAATTCAAGCCAAATCTGCCCAAGGATTTTCAGGTGACTACGCTGCTGCACACTATGAAGTTGTTTCCCTTGCTTCAGAGTCCGCAGCCAACATAAGAACCATTGCATCATTTTGCCATGAAGAGCAAATACTCAGCAAAGCCAAAACATCCCTTGAAGTTCCAAAGAGAAAGAACAGGAGTGAAAGTATCAAGTACGGGATAATTCAAGGAGTTTCCCTCTGCTTATGGAACATTGCACATGCCGTGGCTTTGTGGTACACAGCAATTTTGATCAAGAGAAATCAAGCCAGCTTCAAGGATGGCATAAGAGCATACCAGATTTTCTCTTTGACAGTACCTTCAATCACTGAATTGTGGATGTTAATTCCCACCATCATATCCGCTGTAGGTACATTAACACCAGTGTTTGAAACCCTTGACCGGAAAACCGAGATTGAACCAGATATGACAGAATATCCACCAGTTGACCAAATCACAGGGAGAATTGACTTTAAGAATGTCAAGTTTAGCTATCCATCAAGGCCAGAAGTAACTGTTCTCAATGACTTCAGTTTACAAATTGATCCTGGATTAAAGGTTGCACTTGTTGGCCCAAGTGGAGCTGGGAAGTCCTCTATTTTGGCTCTTTTGTTAAGATTCTATTGTCCCAGTGAAGGAATGATTCTCATTGATGGGAAGGATATAAAAGGTTACAATCTCCGAAGGTTGAGAAAACATATAGGATTTGTGCAACAAGAGCCACTTCTTTTTAGTTCCTCAATCAGAGAAAACATTTCCTATGGGACTAATGGGGCTTCTGAAGCTGAAATTGTAGAGGTATCCAGGGAAGCAAGCATACACGAATTTATCTGCAGTTTGCCAGATGGTTATGATACAATCATTGGGGAGAAGGGCTGCCAACTTTCAGGCGGACAAAAACAAAGAGTAGCCATTGCTAGAGCACTAATAAAGAAGCCAGAAATTTTGCTCCTGGATGAAGCAACAAGTGCCTTAGATGCTGAATCTGAAAATTCTGTAGTGAGTGCGTTGGAATCAGTACATAAGATGAGACATGGTGACACCAGGTTTACACAGATAACAGTTGCACACAGGCTGTCCACAATAATAAATTCAGATGAAATAGTTGTAATGGATAAAGGGTCAAATTGTGGAGACTGGATCCCACGTAACTCTATCATCAAATTCTAAAGGGAGTTTACTCCAGATTGCTCCAGCATCAGAAACTATCGGGTGACTAATATGTGGCTGTGTGTGTATTAGATTTATCGTTACATAAATTGACTCAACGATGTGTACTTAGGAACAACTACACAAAGAAGTCATAACAAAAACCTTTTCCTATTTGGAATTTTCTACAAAGCTTTATCATTGTCATTTAAGAGAAAAAAAAGACATTTATGATATGATAAATAGAACATCATTGCAATTTGCTGGAAGCACAGAAGTCCAAGATACTTGTCTAGAGTTCACAAAATATGCTATCAATTGTCTTAAGCTGCTCCACCTCCACTCCACCAGCAATTCCCCGATCAACATAGCACAACTGAAACAGAAATAACATCAACAACACATCAATTGATAATAAGGCCTACATGCACACAGATAAACTGCAACATAACCTGATATTGTAGCTTCTGCAGGGTGTGCATCCCTCTTTTTATAAACTTCTGCCATCCAGAATTTTCATTGAGTGATCTCTCCAGAGCAGCTGTTTTCTGCATATATATATAAATTAATTAGTGCCTCTAACCAGGCACATCCAGACAGTAAATAAGTGATAGGATTTGTTTCCTCATTTTGGTAAGCTAGATATCTCCCGGTGGTAACTAGGCGCTTGAACTTCATCCAAGGAATACTTTTAATACTAATGGATGAGAAGACTCGAGCATAGAGCCAAAGCTCATGTTTATGAAAATTGTATCTTTCACTCTCCCTTCCTTCTTTTCCACACTAACTCTAAGAGCCACACATAATGTAAATGGATGATGATGAAAGTTGAAAAGAAGATACTAAGTTACATGTCAGACATAATTTTCTAAAGAATCCCAATCACGACTATCGAGACCTCTGGTTTCTGCTCCAATGCATCTCTTTGTTTAATTTATCCTTCACATGTATTATGCTTGTCCCAGATGAAGTACCAAATAATTGCATAACAAAGAACTATTCCAATTCCTTGAAACTAAATGACATGCTGCTTTCAAATATACAATAGAAGGCACATGATTTATAGTTGTATAGTTCAGGTAGTTTTTTGCCAGCTACAGAACTAGCTAATGACATCTACAACCATCTGCAAACACTCTGCAATCCTAAACATAGAAATGGGTAAGAGCTACTCACATGAGCTGGGTCCAAAATCAAGAGAGTGTAATAATGCTTTCCATCCCTCTGGTGTTTTTGGATTCCAACAATTGTTCGTGAATGCCCGTCATGTTGGAAATACAAAGGTCTGCACGTCAAAGATAGTAACAAATTAAACAGAATATTTTAATTTAACAAAAAAACAAATAACAAATAACAAGGATGTCCACTTACGCTATATCGCTGACGATAACCCGAGGGAAGGCAGATTCGGAACTGAGTAAGCTTTTATCTGTAAAGTAATTCCACACCCAATGGGCGAGAATCCGTTGCCTGTCAGTGTTGCTTGTAAAATCATTAATCAGCAGATTATCAGTGTATTCACAAACGGAAGGATCAGAAAAATTCTGTTCCTGGGGATGCTTCCTTGGATGCAAGTATCTGTCCATGGGGCCATAAACTTGTACTGCTTTCCTCTTTGCTCCACGAACAGAAAAATAAAGCGATTTAAGCTCCTTAGGACCGAAATCGACAATCCTGGCACGAATGCCAAAGGAACGCAAAAGAGCAGCACATTCAGTAGTTCCAATCCAATTGGTAGAACCATAAATTTTTTTATTGAAATGATTCGAGCCCAGCTCATCAAAGCCCCTCTCCCAAGCAATCTCAAGCCATCGCTGAAGAGAGGGAATGTCGGGAACGAATCCACAACCCCCAAACAAAACTTGCCTGGCGTCTGCTCTTTGAGTAAGCAAGTGAGAGCAAAGCATCTGGATGTTACGCCATCCACAACCCCACCCGATATCCTCCGAGACAGTGCTCTGGAAATGATTGACGACACCCGACAGTACGGTGACTGATTTGTGCGATTCCAATTCCAATTCCAAACAGCGTTTCAACAAGGGCATGAGACCCTCTTTCACGTCATAAAAGGAGCTCCTCATCTGTAAAGCCATAAGGCAGGAAATTTTGTCATCGACGTGGATAGAATCTTCTCCTCCATCACCGCCATCCGTCTGACTCTTAGGCGAAGTGGCTTCAGCGCCATTATTCTGCAAGACAAGCATCCATTTCTTTCAACGCACAACAAAGATTGTTGTAAAAGTACGAAGTTATTACAAGGTAATGCTAGGAAAACGATTGCAGAAACCGAATTAACCGAACCAACGATGACGAGGAAGAAAATTGTAGAGCCAACTGCCTATCATTAGCGATTTGATGGTCTTCTTCATCCTCGAAGTGGCTGTTGGCGTGCCTGCACCGGCCAAAGTTTGCGACAAACTCAAGAGTGCTTGACATAGTTAAGCAATATCAATTAATCAAACAATTAACCAATAGGCTATCAACTTTACAACTAATTAAGCGCGCAGAGAGAGATATAGAGAGAGAGAGAGAGACCACTCGAGTTGTGAGCGAAGAACCTTAATGTTACAGAAGGGACAAGGAACGGTCGATTCCATTGACATTACTTTCTCAAGCTCAATGTAAAGGTAAACATAGAAACCTCGCCCTCTGCAAAACCACAGCAGAGTGATTTAAATTTGAAAGGAAGAAGGAAATTGATTCATCCAATTATATAGTCACCCGCGGGCCAGGAAGAAGAAACGACTGTAAAATTTTGAATCCAGAGTGCGCTCCATGGAGTAGGATTATATTGGATTTCAGAGATTTGGGCTTCTTGTAGAAAGGCCATTCAAATATTTCTTCCATTTCTAAAACGCAAGTTAAGTTACATTTTAAGTTTAAATATTTTACTTTTAATTTAAGGTAATATGTTTTAATTTAGTTTATTTTATTTAAACAAATTATTTGTCTTATTATCTTTCACGTGTATATTATTGTTGAACATTGATTTACAGAAGAAGTTTCTTTTTTATTTCAGGGTAAAAATCATAACAGTAAAATATTTGATAAAATTGTAATTATATATTTCAGATTTGATAAAATTGTAATTATATATTTCAGATTTATATATAAAAATATTTTTATTATAAAAAGTTAAACATTTTAATAATTAGTGGAATACTTTATACTAATAATAATAAAAATAATAATATAATAATTTTTTTTAATAAAAACATAATAAATTACACAACTTAACTCGTATATAAATATGTACTCAAATAATAATTATTCAATTAAAAAATAATTAATACATAATTTGTAGACATAAAATTTGACGAACCCCGTACTTACCACCCTTTAATCAAATTCGATGAAATGTTAATCACATTAATCATACTTCACGTTATGTACAGAATATATTAATGAAAAACGCAACACTGCATCTTTTTTTTTTTTTTTTTTTTTCTTTTGGCAGAAGATTAACCCAGCAGAATTTAACTAAGCTTTTTCTTTACTGGTCATCAAAGTTCCACTCTTGGAGAGTAGAAGTTCTTTCATCTCCCTGTAACTCCTGAGCTCTTCCAGTGCATCTGCTGTTCTTCTAGGTATGAGGAAGGCGGAAGCCGTACCAATGCCTCCTCCTTCCACTTCAGTCCTCATGGAGTCAGATTCGTAATAACTTGGGTCTTGGCGGAGAGGAGGGGCAGTTCGGAGCATCTGGACAAGAATGCCAACAGCAGCATCTTGCGATTTTCTACATGTTGGAAGAGACTGTGCAGTGAAATCGGATGTTTTTGTCTGGCCATGGGTTTGACTGCATATCCAGAAAAGGAAAAGATAAAGACAACATTTAAGCTAAGGAGGGAAAAGGGGCATAACAAACCAATCTGTTTGGAAACATAAAGGAGAATTGCCAAAGGAGATTGGACTCGGGATTAAAACCACAGCAGTATATTATATATATATATATATGTAATATCAGCTATATTAAGAAAGGCTGCAGAGCCACAAACACAGCACATTTGATGTTCTCTTCATCACCACGCAAAATCTCTTTAATTAATTCGTTGGAGACCACAGCCTTCACATAAAACTTAGAAGACCACTCCTTGAAGGTCATGCAAGTGAAACCAAATGTCTTATATGCCTTGTGGAATTGAGTGTGCAATTTCTCAAATAGATCGAGTGCCACATGGAGGGTTAACATATTTTCATTAATTGACGAGTGACCAATATGCTTCTTCACAAATAAAGCACATATTGTACTGAGTTACCAATGCAATTTACAAAAGATTATAAGTTTCTGAGCCCAAAAGTAGGAGAAATAATACTTAGTGAACCTCTTTTTTTCAATGCCATAACTATATAGATACAGTGGTGATAAGACGGTAGCATATTAAAAAAAAAATTCAATGATACCTTGCAGCAATAAAACTTCAAATTCAAATGACTGACATCAAAGGATTATATACAAGAATGATGTATTATGCTTACCATAGTTAGTTACATCAATAAACAAAAATGAACTACTCAGGCTTCACCTTCAGTAATATGTTTTATTCGGCTATAATACCAAATATAAATTGTAAATGCGCTTGGATAAATAAGAGACAAGATTAACTAACGAAGCTTTTGCTATTTTCATTTGCCTTTTTGGATCCTTTCCTCTTGTTTAGATTGAGGATATCATGAATAAAATGAACTGCATTATGCCACCTAAACAACTTGCCTGACTCTCATATATCATATGCTTATCATTTCTTTCTTGTTTTCTCCATCTATACCTTCAATTGACACATATCAGTATCTCTATCAAACCTTATTCTTAACTTAAAGACATCATGCCTCATTTTTCTATCCAGAAAAGTTTAAGGCAGCCTAGCATAATCAAAAAGTAGCATATGTCAAATCTGACCAACCCGAAAAGAAAGACTTGATGCGGTGTTTTCCCTGAAACTGACACTAATTAAGTATAACCTTGAATCTCTTTTCTTAAGGAAACTGTACTAAATTATTGAGTGCTTCATGGCTTGGCTTCCACTTCAAAAACAATCGTGCAGGTGAACAAGTGAAAAAAGACAATAAGGTGCGACCTCTATATCAATAAGGTTGTTACTATGCAATAAAAACCAGTTAAAATAAAAAATGAATTACCTGACCCCAGAATCAGGAGTCTCAACATCATCAACATCAAAAGGGCATGAGAAATCACAATCATCTAGGTCATCCTGAAAGGATAATTTACTAGAGCTTCTAGAAAATCCGACACGTGGTGAACTGCTTGAAGATAACAATCCTGAGAACCGGCCTGAATCATCTTTGCTATCTCTGACCACCTACAAGACAAATCAAGAAGTGGCCTTATCATCAAGGCAAAAATAATATATAGGATATGGAAATAAAATTAAAACAAAAAACAGCAGGATTTGGATACAAAGATCACCTTCTGTCCAGAATAGTGATTTATTACACCCGAATATAACTCTCCAGACTTTGGAATCTCTGCTTTTCTATATGATCGGATTCCAGATGGAGACTCCTGCGATGAAGAATCATTCCTTGCACTTCTGGGAGACAAAGGAGGAAGAGAATTTTTACTCGGATCAGAGAAGTTAGGAGAGAGATATCTAGAGCCTTTGTGTGTCATTTGGGACGGAATAGTTACAGGAGCAGTGCCTGAGTGTAAACGAGTTTGCATGTGATGGCTACCTAAGAAATGTGTTGGGGTTGAGGGGGAGGCAGATGGGGAGAATGGAGGTGAAAGCTGATATTCATCATGAAGACCAGCCTTTTGCTGAGCAGGTGGTCTGAAATTTCCATATTTGTGACTATTGGTGTCAGCTGGAGGGGACTGAGAATCATATGATATGGATGATATGTGGTATGCAGGTGGAGATCCACCAAGGGACTGATGCCTTGTAAAAGGAGCTGGTCTGTGAAAGCCACTAGTCCAGCTGTGTGGCCGCTCAGATGGAGCAATGGATGGAGGACATACACCTCTTAACGGAAAGGATGTGGCACGAACACCCTTCTCTGAAGCGGGAAAAGACCTCATTGGGTCAGTAGAGGGACTACCAACATAGTCAGCTATGATCTTTGGTGGTAAAGAAGTTGATGGCTCAAGGTTGAAATCTGATAGTCTCTTACGGTAAGTCACAGAGACACAAAGACGGCCTGGAAGGGCCTCAACTGGTACAAAACAGTACTCTTTCATCATCTCCTCCTCGGACCTAGAGAATGGATCACTAAATGAAGACACCTTGTAAATAAGGTCAAAATTATAGGATTGAGTGGATGAACTTAGCTGTCGAAAGATCCGATGCGCAGGAAGAAGCCTCATTTGGGAATAAAGAGATCTTAAGAGAATGATAGACTTCTTATAAGTCTTCTTGTAATAGGTAGAACTTTCATTTGTTTGAGGAGACTTAAACTGTGGAGATTCGTATTGAATAACCCACCTCTCTATTACAGTCTCAAGGGATGCACCCCTTGTATATGGACTATACAAATTATCTACAGAAGAAGATCCGTGACTAACAAGTATAATGTCTATGACCATTGGATCCATTATATTTCTATGCCAGAAATTCAAGTTTTCGAAAGCTGCAGGGCGGTCTCCTAATACCAAATTGAACCATTTATCACTCTTCCTAACCCGTGGAACAGATGGCAGATCAACAAAACGATCGTGTGAGTGTAGAGAAGGAATTCTCGAATCCAGAATAATGTGCAATGTCTTTAAAAAGAACTGTAGAACAATTTGCTCCAGTTTTCCAGACTCGGATTGAGAATTGGCCTGCAAATCCATGCTTGTATTCCAACAGGCTAAGAAGAAAATGCGTGTAATCAGACCACTACAATTGCAAGTTAAGGCAGCTAAAATTGTAAGAAGAAGACACAAACTGTTGCAGAAGATTTGTGCTAGCTGTGGCGTGTGGATATGAACTTATGAGGACGAATTCTCTCTAACAAAGAAATAGAAGCTGCCTTTAATCCATCAAACATGGTCTATGAGCAGGATCTGACGAATACACAAATTCCATACGAGAAAACACCAACGACTACTCAATCATCATCTAGTTTAGGCAAGAAGAGAGAGCTTTAACAAATTGTAATTTCAAAATTTCCGCGGTAACAAATCTACAGATCCTGATTCATCTAAAAATAGTTTGAAATTTGAATATACGGATATAAAAGAGAGGAGGGAAGAACAATCTAATGAAAAGGCAACCATAACTTAACCACAAAAAGAAGCCGGAACCAGACGATGATTTGCTATCTGTTACAATCGAAAAGGACGTCAGCGATGGCGTGGAGGAAAGAAAAGTGCGAAGGAGTAGGCCGCCACGGGCAATTTGATTTAGAGAAGGAAGTTTGGCGTTTGGTATGAGTGAAAATTGTTGAGAGGAAAGTGCAGATTGGAAAGAGGGGGTTTCAGCTATAGACTACACGTTTCGCCATGTCCAAGCTCCCATTGAATTTCCATTTCCTCCCCGATTCAGAGCAATCCCCGGTTAATTATTGTTTAATCCGGCTTCCGTATCGAATAATAACAGTACTAATACGATGGAAAAATGTAATGAAACGTTTTAATCCTAATCCTCCAACAAAAACATTCATTGTTTCTATTATTTAAATATGTGATTGGCGCATGATCATTGAATTAGTATTTAAAATTGAATTAAAATTAATAAATAATTATTCTTAATGATTAATGTAAATTTTTAATTTTAATCTCTTCTGTTAAATATCTCATAAAATAATTGATAATAAAAAGTGAACAATAATTTATAAAATATAATAATTTTTATATAATAGAATGATTAATATTTTTCTTCTCTCCGTAACAAAGTGGGCTCGGTTTCATTTTAAGTTTATGGCCATTAAAAGAAAACTCAATTTGTAACGACTCTGCAATGTCCAAATAAATAAATTATAATTTAAATACAGAAACGAAATAAATAATTAATATTTACATTACTTACACATAAATTTAAAGTCCTAAATAGTGGTACAATAATTAATTTTTTGAATGAAATAGAAAAAAATAAAGAAATAAACGAAAAATAAATAAAACTGGTATTCTACTCGCAACTCTCTTGTGAATCGGGCTCTGGATCCTAATTCTCTTGATCTAAAATGGTTAAATAAAGATTGAGTTACATTAGTCCAATAAGAATATCACGCTACTCACCGACACAGAAATGAAGGTTGGTAAAAAATTAAAACAACTAATTGAGCACTTAATTAAACAAATATATTTCTTAATAATAAAACTATTTACCATCCACTTACCGCAACGAGATTTATAAAAGCAACCTATAGAGACAACAACATAGCACTTATCATGATTCCATATGCAATTAGTAACAAGTACACATTATAAATTTATATTCAATAAATTATTAAACAATAATCTTTCATTTTATCGGTCTATTAGTATCAATTGGAGTTCATAGGGATATTATTCCTACGTGTGAACCCTTTTTTTCAACATTCTCAATTAAAAGGCCGTCCTCATACCATGTCCGATATGAACGTCAAACCACTAAATCTCAATACCTCGTCTGGTGTGAGGGTGAAACGAGCCGTCCTTATACCCCGTCCGGTATGAGCGCCGAATTACCAAGTCTCGATATCCTGTCCGATATGAGATAACGTTTACGATAGGGTTCCCTATTATATTCGATCCGTCCACTATATCCCATAATATTCAGTAAGACTGTCGTTTCATCCATTCACTTAGATCACACAATTTTTCTGTTTTTCTTTAGTCTCCATTTTATAAATCAATCGTAATCACATAAACAAACAAACATGCATCAGGGAATACAATCATATATCGGTTTTTCAATGTAATAGTAGACAGTATACATACATTCAAATTATAAAATCGATAAATCAAATACTATCATGCATTTGAACTGTAAAATAAATCAACAGAAATCAACAGAGAATAATTTCTAGTTCTAGCTCTATTAGTAACTCGTAATTAATTATAGATATTTTCTTAGTTTCACGAAATACCATATTATTTAAAATTAAACTTCAATTCCATAATAGATGATAAGGTGAGAGATTCTTATTGAATTTGATTCCTGAAAGGCTAAACTGTTGACTGCGCTTACTGGCGATCCCCAGGTTTCCTGAATTTTTTTTCGAAAATCAAAACGCGCTATAAGTACCTACAAATATTCCAAAAAATCCAAAATCAGCCTCAGGGTCCAATTTTGGCCAATTTCAGAATTCCATCACGGCGGCTCCGCCGTGCTCCGGTGGGCGGCGATGGTCCGCCTTGGGTCGGCTGTTTTTGGCCAATTTTGCATCGATCCTTACAAGAAAATACGTTAAGGGGTCTTGGTTGGCAAAAAAAATACAAATTTAAAACTCACCGGTGGCGGGGCTCTCCGGTGCGGTGACTCATTTGGCTCATGTTGCGATTGTGTGTTTTGCTCTAGTCAACCTGTAGAGAATGAAATGATGATCATAATGGTGGAAAAATTACGCCGAATGAAAATCGGGAAGGGCCTCATCGGAGGCGTTTTGTGAAATTTTCCACAACGGCATTGCCGGACTTTACCTGCAGTTTTCGGTCAATTAGCCGGTCTTTTTGCTCCGATTTGGCTATGGGGATGATTAAAATTGAATTTCGAGCAAAGGATAATTTTTTTATCTCTTTTGGTGGTCGGAAAGGGCTTCGGTGTGGCGGCGAATGGCAGCGGCTCTCCTTCCCAGCGGATGAGTCTTCTTTTCCAATGAGGGCGTCCCGCGGCTAGTGGTATAAAAATGATTATTTATATTCGTCTCCATTTAATCTGGGTCGTCTATCGCGTTTGGGGAGGGAACGCATCCAGACCGTCCGTGCACGCGGTAATAGATCTGAGCCGTTCGATCGCGGGTACACGGATCGCCCGCGTGGCCCCCCACATGATACCGTGTTAGTGTCCGTTGCCACGCAACATGTTATGGTTTGTTGGAGCTGTTGACCGGACATCTTACGTGACAAAACTTTTCTAAATTATATTTTAATATCCGGTTTCTGATTTTTCTTTTAAAAATACTTTTAGAATCCAAATTTTTATCTATTTTTCTTAAAATTATTTTCAATTTCATCATCCATAACATTTCTTTCACTTTTATACTAAATTAAAATTAAAAAATTTAAAAAATTATATTTATAATTAATTTAATTTAATTTGGGCATTACACAATTACAGAACATTAGAACTCTAAACCCATCCTTCCCATGACTGTTGACCCGATTATCTTTCTTTTTTACCGTCGATCGAATTTATTAACATAGTATTAAAAAATTATTGAAGTAAATTATGGAAAATCATATAACTTATTTTATTTTAAGAAATTGTGAAATTTTTTTTTTGTAACATACGTATGTAATTTAAATATTTAACATGAAATTAATTTTTTATACATTTGAAATATTTATTTTTTGGATACAAATAAATAGAAAACACGAATAAATAAATAAAAAATCAAGCCTACAAATTGAACGTTCTAAACCAAAAAGCTCTAATGATAACCTCTTTCACGATGTTTATGAGCTCCGCAAAAAAGTGATGCTTGTAGTACGAGTCAAAGGATTAAAAAAAGATTTGATTAGGTAAATAGTCGATACAATAATTTCTTTCACGGTAGATATGTTAAATTTTCGGCATTCAAATTATTCAATAATAAAGTTTTTTATATTTTTAGAAATACTTTTAGTGCATATATTATGATGCTTGACTTTCTTTAATGTCAATTCAAATTATAATTATTATAATTTAATATTTGATCTAATTTATATTAAAAAATAAATAAAATAATTTTGTCTGATTTAAATATTATATTAATTTAAATAATTTTTATAAAATAAATATTTATAAAAAAATTACTTAGTTTTTTTGAAATTTATCACGTCATTGTGAAAATATTATTGTCCATAATTACATTAAAATAATGTATAAACATGTTTTGTATAAATTTTATTGTAAAAATTATCATATACACTAATTATTTAATTTAAATAATTATTTTCAGCAAATAGTAAAATTAAAAAATAATAATTACGATTTGATTTTTTAATTATTTTACATAGATGTATATTTTTTTAGAACATATCTGTATTATTTAGATTTTTATAAATATAATAAGCAAAAATTCAATGTTAAATAAATTAAAAATGAAAATAAATAAATAATAAGTGACAATTATGATTTTG